ATGATGATGATGATGATGATGATGATGATGATGATTAGGATGATGATGGCCATCCGACAAACGAGGTTGGCTTCGCCGACCGTGCCTCTCAATCATCTTGGAGAATTCGGGGAGGTGGGGGAGCAGGTCGGAAGCACAAGCAATCAAGGACAACCCACAACACAGCCGTCTCTGAAAGAGGAAGGTCCCCATTACCTTATCGCGTTGGTCAGTTCAAAACAATGGTCAGGCTTTCACGGGGAATCGTGCGGTCGGCGGTCATCTCATGCGCCGCACACACACACACAACGGCAGACCAAGACCATGCTCAAGAAGCTTCGGAAAGAAACTTTTCAGCCGTCAGGAAGCAGGTGATCCTGCATCTCATAAGACTGCCTTGCACCTTTTTGTCCTGTTGCTTGAGGACACGAATCAGCAGGACCCAGTGCACATGCCAGATCCCTCTCCTCCTTCCTTCTCAGCCACCTACTCCTCCTTAGTCGCCTACTCCTCTGTTCTTTAAAGACGATGATGGTAAGCTGTGCTACGGATCCTGCGACCAACTCACCGTTTTGCACGGATTTGTTGAAAGTTGGGCTATGGGCAGCACGTGTAAGCACTCATCGGTAGAGGTCGCCAAACCGGCTTTTGAGGGACTCGTGCGTTCGGTTCTGCCGACACCCACATAAAGTGGCCTCTCCACTCTCCTGGGCTCAAGCGTGCCATGTTTGTTCGTGATCAACCGACACCGAGGACGCCGAACTTGGTGCGCATCAGTCTCCTACTGATGTGGGTCTTCCACTCCGTAGGAGCGCAGGGTTGGCGACACACACACACACAGACCACAAAGCACCACGACGGATGTGACGCGGTCGAGTGGTCCAAAGTGTCCTCCTCCATCGCATCGTCCTTCGTCATCGTGCCAAAACAACGGTTGCCCCTCGCCAAAGATCGTGCTCCGGATAGATGGATGACCGCAATGCCAACTGGCGCTTGGCGCATGCTGAAAGCAGAGCGTTGTCCCAAGTCCATCTCAACTCGACCCAATACGCCCGTCGAGCCTCACTAGATCCCTCATCTTTTCCAATTATTCTGCCAAAATCATCGACATCCACCCCGCCCTGTCGCTTCAACGGATCTTTCCCCCTTTTTGAGCTCGACTACATCGACGCGCCTGTTTCCAACCAAATCGGTCTCTCCTCATTTCAGACGAACCTACAACGAGATACAGTGTCGATTGTTTGACCCCCCATCCGAGCGGTCTCAGTAATACACCTCGAAGGAAGCTGCCAAGGACAACGGGGGCATCAAGGCGTGGAACACATGACACAAACGCCTCCCGCTTTGTCGGCACATGTGAAGGGCTTCAGCATCAACCAGACAGGCAGGCGGGGGGTGCGCGGCACCCGCCATTATCAACACGACAAGCTCATGCGGGAGGCAGGACCAAGAGGGGCGACATGAGACAGGAGGCCAGGGTCGGTTTTCCTGGAAACCAGGCTAATGATGTCACGACACATCCACCATGTATAAATGGCATCCGAGACGCTTGGATGCGCAGGCACTTCCAAAAGCTTTCAAGGGGATCAAAAGCATTCGACGATGGCCATGCGTGGGGTGGCACACACCCACCGGCGAATGAAAGAAAATCTAATGGCTAGGGGGTGACGCGGGCATAGACTGGGACTCGGCGGTCGTGGAAATGCTAAACGTAGGCAAATCTGCTTGCTCCAAGGCCGGCAATTGCCCTGGAAGCGAATGCACGCTCCCATACATCGAGCCAAAGTGGCTCGCCGTAGGAGGTGCGACCACCATGAACGGCTGCTGCAACGTATCCAAGGCCACGTCTGCCACCGGCGACACGGGGGACAGCACGGCTGCAGAGGGCGATGGCCCAGCTGCTGCTGAAGCTGGAGCCGATGGCGGAGGTGATGTGCTGGACATGGCTGGCAGAGGAGATGGCGATGGCGGAACAGAGCTGGGCGCCTCCATCTCCGGGAAAATTTCAGATAACAGACCAGGCAAAAAGGCGTGCACCCGATGCCAGGTCATGTCCCACAAGTTATGAGAGCCTACCATTGCCCCGGGCTACCATCAAATGCCCCACAAAAAGCGATGCGTTAGAGACGCGCCAAAGTAGGCCAAGTGAAAGCCAGGCCGGCCGCACTTGTTCAGGTAGTTGCACACACACACACACACACACACACACACACACACACACACACACACACACACACACACACACACACATCAAGCCCAAATGGTGGTCGGGAGTGCAACAACGGGACTGTACCTTGAGAATGTCGGCACTCTTCATCACATTCAAAATATTCTTGAGACGCTCCGGCACATACTCAATCAGCTCCATCTGCCCCGTAGATACAAACTTGTCAAAGAGGTCAAGCATAAGCTGCCACAGCTGGATAAACTGCTCGCTATCCTCCATCAACGCCTCCAGGTGCTGCAAAAACACCTTGCTGGCCAGTCCACACGCACGCGAACCAAGCTCCTCCAGCGCGCCGGTGCGCAGCTTTTCGTTGCTCAAAAGAAGCTTGCGCATGAGGTCAAAAACCACAATGTGGAAGCAGCGGTGCCAGTTGGCCGGTGAGAGATGCAGCAAATCCGGCGCCAACAAGAAACGGTTCAACGTGGCAAACGCCAGCTGCCAGATGCTCGAGTGATGATGCAGGACCAAGGATGCCACGCTCATGAGCAGTGGCTGCCAGCATTCCACCCAAAGTTGATCCGCCACGCTCTGAGGGTCCACGCCTTGCCGGTCCTCGGGCAGGAAGGCCCCCATCACATTGGTGTACAGGTGTTGGATAAGATCCAAAACGCGCAAGCCCAGCAAGGGCGGTGGTGCCCCTGATCGACTCGTGCTAGAGCCAGACACGTTGCTTGCCGTCTCCAATGTATTGCTTCCAGTCACTGAGGCACCTGCCACCAGGCCATTGGCCCCTGCCCGTCGACCCACCGATTGTACAAGAGGCAAGCCAGAGGCATCGTTGGCCAGCAATTGCGCACACAGTACAAGTGTTTCTACTAGGCCCGGCAGCGACTCTCCCGTAATGACCTTGCGGTCGTTGACCACGAGGTTGACAATGTCCAACGCCACCGCCATCTGATTGGTTCCCGTCAGTGTGCGATGCAAAAGGTGAAAGAGCGTCGGCCAGCATCGATGCGTATTCAGCACCGCCGTGTGCTGCTCGACAATTTGTTTCAGAGCACATGCGCACTGCAGCGCCACGCCACCGCGCTCCAGGCGCAGCAGTGGGTCCAAGTCCTTCAGGCGGTCCGTGGCACGCGACTGCAGGGGCTCGCGACTCATCAGGCGCAGAAGGAGGCGCAGCTGCGAGACCACGGCTCGCTCATACAGCAACGAGTCATCGGGCGCCGACGTCAAAATGGATTGCAGATGCAGCGTCACCTTGGTCCACAACATGTCCGAGCGATCCTTGTTGCGGAGCACCACCTGGCACAGCTGCTCCAAAAAGAAGATGGCCGCCGTTTCATTGTAAGCGTAGGTGACCTGCTCGGCCTGGACGGCACTATGTGAATAGTAAATCAACACGTCCACCATTGTATCGAGCGAATGCCCAGGTAGGGTGCTGCTCTCCTCCAACAGGGCCTGAAGCTGGCAAGCCTCCACTTGCTTAAGTGCACGCTGCGGCGCCCGCATGTGACGGGGCTCAGGTTCGGACCGTGACGTAGACTCGCCACCGAATAGACTAAAAGAGAAGAAAGATGACACATTGGAAACAGCAGCGGCCTGTTGCTGGACCACCAAGTTGCGCACACCACTGGGATCGGCAAAGTCGAAGAGCTGGCTCAAATCGTCGGGTAGAATTTGCGAGTACACAAAGCCGCGAATGATCATGAAGAGCTCCTTCCACGAGTCGCGCAAGAGCTCGCCATAAGCACTAGCCAGCTTGAAGGCATACTTGACAGCCACCTGAGCATCGGGAGCATGGGCCAAGAGCCCAACCAGTTGTGGCGAATTGGGCACAGTCCCATTCTCCGTTTCCAACATCTCGTTAAAGCGGGTGCGCTGACACAGCGCCACAACCAACGCATCAAGGCCCGCGCTATGCTGAAAGCGCGAGCAGAGCTGGCCAGCTAATAAAAAGTCCTCAGCCAAGCGCTCCAAGATACCCTGCGTAGCCCGATACAAGGGAAAAAAAAAAAAAAGAACAGACAATCAGATGAGGATTGGAAGTATTAAACCAAACCACCCTCAAAGGTAGATGCCACCTCCAGGGTGTCCAGGAAACCGTGCGCCCCAAAGCTTCCTGCTGAGGCTTTCCCGCCCTTGACTTGACGTACCACTTCGCGCTCGCAATCGTCAAAGAGTTCGAACAGAGCTGATGATGCCTGCGGCCACAAGAGCTGGAAGAGCACGCGCCCGTACTCGGGGTGGGCGCGCGTTGAAGCCAGCTGCGAAGCTCGCTGCTGGCTGCGGCGAACCAAGCACTGCCACTCGTATTCTTCGCGCTGGTCTGCGTGCTCCTCCGGCAAAACAATTTCATGAGTGCGGATGTTGTTGTAGATGCGCTCGAGAAATTCGCGGGGAAAGTTTTCCTTGTTGTTCAGGCCACGTTGGTTGATCAAAAAGTCTTCCAGCTTCATGGGGCGCTTGTTCTTGGGATTGTGTTGATCCACGTTGAGGAGGATGATGGCGAATCCCAAAATAAAGGCAGCATCACAATCAGCGACGACGTGCTCGCCTAAGAATTGGCAGGCAAGAGTAGAGTGTATGTGTGAGCGAACTCGACCCGTGGACTGACACGATGAAGGACTGTCTGCAGCAAGACCAAGCAAAACGAGCGACGAGCACGAGTGCCGGCACAAATCATGAAGAACGGCAACCTACCAACATAAGACGCATGCCAGTGAGCCGTGAAGGCTTCAACAATGCGCTCAATCTGCTGGGCTTCGCCCGGCAGGCGGAAGGTGGACATGAGAGCACGCATGCCCTCATCAATGCTGAGTTGGCTGACATCAAAGGTTTGGACAAAGGCCGTCATCAAATCTTTGTTCTTGAGTGTGCCCAGATACTCTCCGATCATGGCCTTGTCCAGGTTGGGTACGGAGCGCAGAAAGGCCGCAATTTGGTGGAGGTCGGTTGATTTCGACAGCAGCCCCTTCTCCTGCAAAAATGCAATGCCCTTGGAGGGCTTCTTGTTGAATAGCTCGATGCCTTCGTGAAGGAGTCGCTTGCGCTCCAGCTGCTGTGCCAGCATATTGACGGGCGTCAATGTGGCTGGTGTCACATCAGGTGATTCAAACGAGGGTAGAGCTACCACGTTGTCGTCTTGCGCCAAGCCTGGTGGGAGATGGGGGGCGGTCCACAAAGGTTTAAATCGAGATGAGAACGATGGTATACAGCGAGCATCGATGGGATTCGATCTGGTGGAAAAGGAGATGTGAAATTCACCTTCTGTGGTGGGCACATGAGTCAAGTCGCGAAGCGGCGCGAACAAGGCCTCGAGTGCGAGGAGGCGGGAAGACGGGGTGCCTACATCCGCCTTGGTGTGCTTGACGAGAAAATCAAACAGCGGTTTGCAGAGCTCGTCACAAAACAGATTGTAGTCAAAATTCAGAAGCAGGTCCGAGGCAAAAGAAGGCAGGCGCAAAAGCTCGAGGAGGAACTCGATGGTCAACTCAAGATGTTCGCCTGACTCGTATTGACGCTGGCGGGAGTGGGCAGCAGGTCAGCCAGCAGCATGGTGCAATAGGGCGCTTAGCAAAACAAAAAAAAAAAAAAACAACAAGAAGAAGAAGAAGAAGAAGAAGAAGAAGAAGAAGAAGAAGAAGAAGAAGAAGAAGAAGAACATGAAGAACATGAAGAACATGAAGAAGAACAAGAAGAAGAAGAAGAACAACAACAACAAGAAGAAGAAGAACAAGAAGAACAAGAAGAACAAGAAGAACAAGAAGAAGTAGATTTAGTGGAAGAATCGAGAGGAAGGCATCACCGACACAGCACACTAACCTCAGTCAGGAATGAAATGGTCTTAAAAATTTGAAACTTCATGCCATGCCCCTGCGCTTCGAAAAGGAGGAAGAGGACACGCAGTGCTTGGTTGACCAATTCTGGTGACTCGTGTGTCAACAATCCCAACAAAGCCCGACACAGCTCGTCTTTGGCCATCTAGAGTGGCACGCAGCAGGCAGGCAGATGAGTTTCAAGAAGACGATCAATGAAGAAAGTATAGGCGAGGTTAAAAGATCATTCGGAGTGAGCTGGCCATGCAATACCTTGAGCAACGATGGGGCAAGATGCAATGCGTCCACACCAGTCTCCATGGCCACGAGTAGCAGATCAAGGCCCAGCATGATCTGAGTGGATGTGTTTTGTCGATCACTGGGGTTGATCAACGATACGAGGAAACGCAAGAGTTCGATCACGCAACGCACACCATAGGGGCGGAGCTGATGCAGGGATGGACACAGCAAGACAGGGTTGTAAAATGAGCGGTGGGTGATTGGTAAAAAAAAAAGGGGGGGGGAGAGCTCGACCTGGTGCGCAATGGATCAGGGGCCTCACCATGTCGTGTTCGGAGCTCTGTGTCTTGACAGGTGTTTCAAAGCGGACGCCACGAGCGTTTAAACGCATGCCGGCTTGTTTGCGGCCAACAGCTGGCGAGGCCATTGCGCTGTGCGGGGCAGCAGCACTTGGCTCCGAGGGTGGAGCCAGAGCGATGGTGTGATCCCCCGAAGCGGCATCAGTTTCACTTTGTTGTGCCTCGGTTGCATCTGTAAAAATGCTACCATCGACCGCCGTGGCGGCAGCGGCAGCGGCGGAGCCATCGACTTGCTCTTGGGGTGAGTCGCCCTCTTCAGCAGGCGGCGGCAACAGGTCATGTGTGCGGACTTCGGAAGTTGAACGGTGCAGGTGGTGCCGCATGCTTGATTCCAAATCTTGTTCCTCTTCCTCATCACCCTATCCCATTCCAGCAGTATAGATGAGCGACTCGCGAGGCCGGATGGGGACGGAAAAACGACGGAGCTCGTGCGAGTCTCGCCGCTGAAGGGCAAATTGGAAGCAAGGTGGTGGTCACATAACACATACGGGAAGATGTTCAAGATTGCCAAAGAGGTGGACTGTCATGGCCACCAACGTGGCTTCGGACTGTTGTCGCAGCAGCTCGCTCAGGCGTGACTCAAAGCAGATGCGAAAACAAGACTGCATGACCTCACAGGCACTTTCGTTGGACAAAAGTCGTCCCACTGGGTGTAAAAGCAGGGCTCGCAGCACCTGGCACCGGAAGACCGAAAGAGAAAAAGAGCCACGATCATCAGGCCATGGGTGACTTGGGGCATTTTAGCTTTTGCCTTTCTAGGAAAGGGGATACTTGAATCAAACGAGCTACGCACCTCAAGAATGCGCATGAGCACAACTTCGTCCACGGCAAGATCAGTGCCAACAAATTTGGCATGAGTGACGGCATCTGCCAGGTTCTCCACGGCCGTGGACGCATTGCTCGCTGTCTCATCTGCCGAAGGACATAGACAAGAGCGACCCGGCAGGCATTGGTGATTGGTGTTGGATGTCAGCACTGTGCATCGCAGAGGTGTCCGCCCTTGGCACGAACCAATCAAATTGTAGATGATGAGTTTGTGCAGCGTTAGGAGAGCAGCGCCGGTCACGGGACCGGTGGTGGAATCTGAGCGCACGACCTCGAGGAAGGGCGCCAAGACAGCCTCCAAGCCGACATCCTCCAAGGCTAGTCGGGGATGAGCGCGGTTTGCATGAGATAAGAGCAAGGCATGGTGGGATGCAAAGGGATGTCGAGATGTTGAGAGTAGACGCAAGCATAGGCCTTCCATCAAAAAAGGAAGGTGCCTACCTTCAGCGGCCAAGAGTCGACGCTTCAAGACGCCGAATTGCTGCAAAAGTGGATTCTTGGCCTCCTGAGACAGAAAGCCACGTCAGTTGAGGAGTGTAGACGGGTGGGGCGTAGACAGAGGCAGAGGCATTCGAGCGCTGGGCAAGGCACATGTTCCCTGCGTACCTCATAACCGCTGTGAACGATGCGTGAGCCCTGCTTGATCTGGGCGACCAGTGCGGAAAGCTCGCCGAGCACCACAAACAGGCCATTACAGGAAGGCATGTCGAAGGTGCCAGGCATGGACACACTGGTCGCAAGACCTCTGGCAATCGCAGTCTTTGAAAGCTTGAGCCGCTGTGGGATGGTGCGTGATCGGGTTCGTGGCGCCATGCCGACCAGAGCCACATGAGCAAGTGGGCAGCGGGGGTTCAAAACCAGAAGCGAGACCGATGGTGAAACGAGGTAAAGGCCCGAGAGTCTGAGCTCTCCTGACTGGGGCGCCAACGGGGCTGGACACGTTTGCCAGCATGGCACGTCGCGCTGGCAGCTGGAATGCCGCCAGCGCGACACACTCATGGTCGCCAGCACGACACATTGAGCATGTGGAATACAAACATACCGTCGCTTCTGCCTCGGCCTCCGTCAATCTCAAGTCAGAGCCAATCAACTCAGGATCAATGGCAGCGGCAGAAGAAGAAGTGCAGGAAGAGGAGGAGGAGGAGGAGGAGGAGGAGGATACAAGGGGACGGCGACGATAGCCGAGCTCCCTCCTCCTAATTAGCAAAACGACACACAGCGAGAGAGAGAGAGAGACAGAGAGAGAGACAGAGAGAGACAGAGACAGAGAGAGACAGAGAGAGACAGAGACAGAGACAGAGACAGAGAGAGAGAGACAGACAGACAGACAGACAGAGAGACAGACAGACAGACAGACAGACAGACAGAGAGACAGACAGACAGACAGACAGACAGACAGACAGACAGACAGACAGACAAAGAGAGAGAGACAAAGAGAGAGACAGAGACAGAGACAGAGACAGACAGAGAGAGAGACAGAGAGAGAGACAGAGACAGAGACAGAGAGACAGACAGGGAGAGAGACAGAGCCAGAGAGAGAGACAGAGACAGAGAAGAGAGACAGAGAGATTTAGAGAGCGAGAGTCAGAGAGAGAGAGAGAGAGACAGAAACAGAGATACAGAGAAGAGGGGAAACAAAGGCAACAGAGGCAGCGACTGAGAGAGAGAGAGAGAAGGAGGCAAGGCAGAGATGGGGATGGAGCCTCGCTTTGAGTGTGTTGACTATTCCGCGTCAAGAGTAGCGCGTGTCGAGGCGTAGTTGTGCCGCGGCAGGTCATATGTTGGAGCCGGCGCGCGATAAGGAGGCCGAGTCGAGTCTGGCTGCCTTCATTCCATTGTTATGGGAGACTTGCATGCCTTTGCAAAAGAGCTGACATCCCAACTTGGCCGTCGCCTCGGGTGCTGTCTTCAAGTCATCCATTGCGGGCCGACAGAACTGGCTAGATAACATCCTGGCGTGGCATGGCCAGCGTTGAGCCAAAGGTGGGCTTCACTGCCCATGCCCACGTCCTTGCCTGCAATCAACCAACCAGTGGGGCTGCCGTTTCTGCCCCCGCAGCAGCAACGCCCGTGTTCAGACGGACAGTTGGTAGCGAGCCGTGCCTTTGCGCTAGCTTGCGCTGGCGCTTCACTCGATTCGACAATCATTATAAAGGTATTTTTCATCGTTGAACAATTTGATTTAATATATGGACAAGCAGTTATTCCAGATTTGGAGCAGGCGCAACACAGTCGACGCTCTCATAACACAAAGTACACATTTGTATTCACTATCTTGCACTTCATACACCTATACAAATACATAAACTCGTTTTTATGCAGCACGAACCCTCCCCGTGGTCCCTTGCTCATTCCTCTGACAAGACCACAAACAGCTGCCCCGTTAAAAACACCTGTTGCAAAGGACTGTTGATCGCCCACAGCCCGGTTAATGTAGCCCGTTTTCAAGTTGTTGCTGTTTTATAGGGCGGCGCTGTAGAACTTTGTGCAGTGGCAGTTGCTGTTTGACGGTGAGCTTTGGTCGACCTGTTCCCGACACTCGCCGAGTGGGGGCACCCTCCGCGCGACGGCTGCTCCTCACACTGCGACGGCTGCGCCTGCTTTGTCACGGGATCTGACCCGCCTTTTACCCAGTTCCCTTGGGCCTGACTGTGTCAGTCTGTGCTCAAGTCTAGCCTCGTTTGTGTCCACCCCACGCCGCCCCCTTGTAGACGCCGGCTCGGTTTCAGCTGGACCGACCTCCTGCGGCGGCGGAAGCCAGGCTGCGTACCATCTGCCCTCACCTTGGCTTCTTGATAAGCTCAAGCGGCCATCACTGAAGCGTTCAACTGGGAACTGGCCACCGGCCACCCGCCACCCAAAACAAACACGGGGTGCGGCCGTAGTGTTCCGATGCAACCCTTTCAAAGGCCCGCCCACCCCAAAATACACAGTCTCACGCCAGCCCGCCGCCTTGTTGCATTCGTGCGATTTCGATAGGCGCGGCGGCCTCCACTTCTAAAGTGGCTGAAAAATTCCTTGCCACCCTTCGACAACGGCCCTTCGACTGCCTATGAGATCCACGGATCAGGTCCTTTCGCTTCTGCCCCGTCAACATGTCGTCCGTCAAGGTGGCTGTGCGTTGCCGGCCCTTCAACTCGCGCGAAAAGGGTCGTAGCGCCAAGTGCATCATTGAAATGCAAAACAACAGCACACGCATCATCAACCCAGCCACAGGCAAGCCCAATACATTTGCCTTTGACTTTTCCCACTGGAGCCATGACACCGCCGACAGCCATTTTGCTACCCAAGATCAGGTCTATAAAGACCTTGGCGTCGAAATGCTTGAACACGCCTTTGAGGGCTACAACGTCGGTTGATCTTGCTCCCTCGTCTTCGCCATCTCGACCCTGCTCGTTTTCCCCCGCTGACAATGCCTGCACCGTGCAACCTGGGTTCCAACCACCACGCCACGTCACGCCACTCGCGATGTCCCGCTAGGTTTGCATTTTTGCCTACGGTCAAACCGGTGCCGGTACGCGGTGTCTCATGCTCGCATACCCACACTGTTCCAGCTTTCGCCGTATTCAACACTCCATCTGTCGCCATTCAAACTGCCTCAAGTCACGAAACATGGCCCGCTTTCCTCACACCACATGTGTGCTGCCCACAGGCAAATCTTTTACCATGATGGGAGCTCCCGAGCCAGACATGCAGGGCATTATTCCTCGCTTGTGTCGCGATCTCTTTGAACGCACTGCTGAAACGTCTGATGAGAACACCACTTTCTCCGTCGAAGTCAGCTACCTTGAAATTTACAACGAAAAGGTTGGATCTCCTTATTCCAAGGCGATGCAAGACTGGCCACCCACAGGTCACTCATCGAACACAACGTCCGGCAGGTCCGCGACCTTCTCAACCCACGCTCCTCGGGGAACCTGCGCGTTCGTGAGCATCCCATCCTGGGGCCCTACGTCGAAGACTTGACCAAGCTGGTGGTCAGCAGCTATGAGGACATCAATCAGCTCATGGACGAAGGTACCGTCGGGCTGCGTGCATGCATGCAGTTCTCGCTTCGACTGTGCACCTCACACGCATCACACGCACCTGCCTCGACATGCGCAGGCAACAAGGCTCGTACCGTGGCCTCCACGAACATGAATGCCACCTCCTCGCGAAGCCATGCCGTTTTCTCCCTCGTCTTCACTCAAAGAACCTCGGTATATCCCGCACCTTGCGATGCTCATGTCTCCACGCTGAGCAAACAGGTACCGACGGCGCTCACCTTTGAAACACCCCATATTAGGTTCCCAATTCTGACGTGGTTACGGAAAAGCAAAGCAAGATCAGTCTCGTCGACTTGGCTGGATCTGAGCGAGCGGATTCGACTGGCGCCACGGGTAAACGCCTCAAAGAAGGTGCCAACATCAACAAATCTCTGACCACTCTTGGCAAGGTCAGCTTCAGACCCGTCTTGCCCGCTTTCGGCCATGTTAAGCCAGCTGACTCACTGTCGCCCTTGCCTGACGTCAGGTCATCTCCGCCCTCGCTGAAGTGTCCGACCCCAGCAAGAAACGCAAAAACAAGTCGAGTCAAGATTACATCCCATATCGTGATTCGGCCTTGACTTGGCTCTTGCGAGAGAATCTGGGTGGCAATTCTAAAACCGCCATGGTTGCTGGTGCGTCAAACACCTTGCGCCTCGGAGACGGATCCATGGCACCTTTGCCCACGCGATGATGTATTAACCTCCCGATTTGCTCCTTGCAGCCGTCAGTCCTGCTGATATCAACTATGATGAGACACTCTCCACCCTTCGTTATGCAGATCGTGCCAAGCAGATTGTGTGCAAGGTGGGTTTTGTTGTTTTGTCTTTTGTTTCTGCTTGTGTTTGTGTTTCCGTCTGATCATATCAGCCCCCATTGGGTGGATCAAGTTGCGCACGCTAGCCCGCTCCTCACCCCCATGTTCACCCTGCCTAGGCTATTGTCAACGAAGATCCAAATGCCAAAATGATCCGGGAATTGCGCGAAGAAGTGGCTCGTCTCAAGTCACAAATGACGGTCTGTGACTACCACTCCAAGCCCTTTGTTTGACTGCTTTGAAAAAAAAAAACGGCCCAAGGCACCTTAACTCACCCGGACTTGTCCAGAGCGGCGTTGCAATGCCTAGCGCTGATGAGCAAGAAGCGGCCGAGGAGCTGCGGACGTCAGAAAAGCTTATGAAAGAACTCAATGAGACTTGGGAGGAGAAAAAGGCCCGGTGCGTAGGCGTGAGCTGGTCGACACGCAAGCCCTCCTCTGGACTAGCCACACTCACGTCCTCGCGGGTGTTTCTGGACTGCTCGCTGGCCTTGATGCAGCACTGAGGTCATCCGCAAGGAGCGTGAAGAGTCACTCAAGGAAATGGGTATCGCTGTGAAGGAGGATGGCAATACGGTGGGCATTTTCTCCCCACAGAAAGCCCCGCATTTGGTCAACCTCAACGAAGACCCCCTGATGTCCGAGCTGCTGCTCTACTACATTCTGCCTGGTGAAACACGGTAAGAGCACGCTGATATTTGTCTTTGGGCTTGTGGTCGACTCATCCCCCCCTCTTTCTTCTTCTTCTTCTTCTTCTTCTTCTTCTTCTTCTTCTTCTTCTTCTTCTTCTCTCTTTCTTTCTCTCTCTCTCTCTCTCTCTCTCTCTCTCTCTCTCTCTCTCTCTCTCTCGTGCATAAGCTTCTGTTACTCGCCTTGCCTCGCACCTTGACTCATGATTCATACCATCCATGCTGGGACCCGAATCTCTGTGCAGCGTGGGTTGTGGCGATGAGGGCATCAAAGTGGACATCGTTTTAAGCGGCGAAGGTATGTGGGCCATGCACGTGCAGCACTGCGTCCCGCCCCCGGTGATCATGTCGACTGCACTTGTGCCCGTGTGGTATCGGTTTCGCTTTTGCCGCCAAGCATTGACCATGGCTCTTTGTCGTGTTCTCCTAATTTCAACAATGGACCCAACGATAGGTATTCAGCCCATGCACTGCACCTTTGAGAACAAAGACGAAATCGTGTTCTTGACCCCCGAGGGCGAGAACACCAAATGCTACATCAACGGTATGCCTGGCTTGCAGAGCACTCTCAGAGAACTCGCCTTTGATTCCATTGTGATAGCACCATTTTTTTTTTTTTTTTTTTTTTTTTTTTTTTTTTTTGTCCTTCTGGCATTCTTACGAACCTTGTTTTCAAACCCGCTGTGGCAGGCGAGGAAGTGAAGGAGCGAACGCAATTGCGCACGGGCAGTCGCTTAATTTTGGGCAGCCACCACGTCTTTCGCTTTAACAACCCCGAGGAAGCCAAGATGCTGCGCGCCTCAAAAAAGAATTCGCAGGTCGGACATGTGTGCCATGCGAAACAACAATTTTGAACCCGTGCGGAGCCGCGCAATCCTCACCAAGCTTGATTGTTTTGCGTGTGTTAGGACACATCGACCCCGGCATCTGCCCCTGCTACCCCAGCGGCAGCTGGCGGCTCCCATGTCCTATCGCAACTCTCTGACTGGCAAGTGGCCCAGGAAGAGCTGCGTGTCAAGCAAAATCAGCTCATCAAGCAGAACATGTTTGAGTTTGAAAATGTGAGAGGCTCGCATGTTGACTCATGTGACTCAAACCTGCACGTTAAGGGCCAGTGCACATCATGCCCACGCTCACGAATGCGGCTTCGCCCTGCTCGCTTCTGTAATTCCAAATCAGTCGGTCAACTCGCAAAGCCAGGAAATGGAGAAGCGAGTTGTTGAACTCGAAGCCATCCTTGAGCGGGAGCGCGAGGCAGCAGAGCAACAGTTACGCAAGCAACGCGAAGAATATGAGGCGCGCATGCGTGACGCCAGCACCCTGTTCCACGAAGAGGACGATGAGGCTGGCGGTGCATCTGCCGCTGAGCCCGTACATTGGAGTGAACGGTGCGCTTTCATGACTCATCACCTCTCCTCACCTGCATTCCCAGCATGCATGCGTTGGCGATCTCGTGCGGGGAGCAAGCACGGCACTTATGGTCAGCATGATGCTGTGGCTTCTTTGAACCAAATAGGCAACGTTATTGCGCACAAAAGGCCTGGGATAAGTGGGTGCTTTACCGCGGCCATTCATTGCGCGACGAGCTTTATGCAGCTGCTGCCTTGATTAAAGTCGGTATCATCGTCTTGCGAACCCATCCGCCACCGGAACCCCACCCCCTGGTGCTATAAGCATAGCTCGCGCACTGGCCTTGCTCAACGGGAAACCTTTGCTTGCAGGAGGCAAATATTTACGCTGTTGAGCTCAACAAGAGCCCGCAATTCCAATTTGCCATGACGTCACGCACACCGTTCCTACCAGGCGAAGACTTGGAGCAGCACCTGGCTATCGAAGTGAGTCTGATGGCGCCCAACCAATTCAAGGGTGGTGCACAACACTTATCCTTGCTTATCTTCATATCTTGCTTAGGTGACGGATCGAGAAACGCAACAAGTCATTTCAATATGGAGCTTTCCCAAGTTCAAACAGGCATTGTTTGACATGAAGGACTTTTACCACTCCACTATTGGCCAAGCCCCCGCTAGCGTCGCAGGAGGTATGACACACATTCCCAGCCAGCCTGGCCAGACTTCGTCAACATTCCACATCACTTACATGCTCTTGGTGCCTGGGTAGACCCTTTCCCTTCCAAGGTCGGCTGGTTCCAGGTCTTGGGTCGCACCTTTGTGTCTCTGCGCAATCTCCTCTTCAACGTGCCAGTCGAGCACAAGTTGGCCATTGTCACCGATGACGGCAAACTGGCAGGCCATTTGCGCGTCTTGATTCAGCCCAACCAAATGATAAAAACCTTGATCAATCTGGTACCTCGGCCATTGACTTGTCCAACGTT